GGTGTCAGACAGGAGATGAAATGTAGTAGAATCCACAGGCCACAGTGTCTGTGTTATTACAGCGTGTTAGTCAGTTCAAAAAATTGCAGCTTATCAGCAAAATCAAAAGTGAAAAAAGGAAAGACTTGCGGCTTATCATTTGAACAGGAGTCTGACAAGCGGATATTAGTTTGCCACAGAGACTGGAACACACAAGGTACAAATATAAAACATCTTTTCTTGCTTATACGTCTAATGGCTGGTTTTATCCCGGGCCAAAGTTCGGATCCAGATCAAACTGCGGATCGATCCAAACCGGACCATGTGCCACTTATTGCATTATGAGCCGATGCTTTTTTTCTGTGATTACATTTCTACAGCCTTCACTACCTCGTTTAAACATACACACTGTGTTCAGCGAGGTGATGTAACACAGCCAGATGTGTGTATGGCCTCGATAAAGAACTGTGGCAAGATTTAGAGACAGACAAAAGATAATAAAGCACATCTTTAGATAAATAAGTCGCTCAAATTGGCACCAAGTATATTGTATATACTGTATGCGGATATGTTTTCTTGTGTGTCCTTTATAACACAACACACTTGCATACATATGAGTTTGTGCATGTACAGTTGTCTGTGTGTGTCTGTCGGTCTGGCATCAGTGTGATTATTCTGGTTCAGCCACAAGAAGTGCACTCAGTGACATGCAGATGTTATCACTAATGCTTTAGAAAAATATTGTTCACAAATGTAGCGCAGAACAGTTAAGTTGGTGAGAGGAACATAAACAATGACAGAAAGCGATACATTCTGCTGCCGTCCAACTGGAGCTAAACTGTAAGACTTATTAATTGAGTTCAACTACATGACTGCCTGTTGAATGATTCTATTTTTTGTTCCATCGTGGACAACTGTTGAGTTTTGTTTATCTTGGTGCCGGCTTTGTTTTGGACCTTTGACCGAATCTGAAATTAATATTTTTACCTCCAAAGTGGAACCAAAGAATGATCAGTATGATCAGTAGCTCCTGATGGCTGAAATTCGATCCTTACAGCGGTGCAGCTGACATAAAAAAGTATGTTTGCTCTATAACTCTTGTCTGCTTCTGTTACTGTTACACAACATTTTACTATTACTCTGTAATTATCACATGTTGCCACAGAGGCTGTGGTTGAGCAGAAGAAGCCCTGGCATGGGGGCCTGTTTGTTTGCTAAATAGGAGTTCCTATAAAAACTGTTGACATTGAGGTCTGTGGGTTATCCAAACTAATGGTGACAGTAAAATGTGATATTTTTTTTTAGTGTTTTGAGCACAAATAATCAAATTTAGTTTGACTCCAGTGTGCTCAGACGGGTGCAGAGAGAAAGGTCAGATCTGCATAAACACATTCTAAAAGAGGTGAAGCTCAAATACACACTCATCAGCCACAACATTAAAACCACCTGCCTAATTGTTTTTAGGTTCTCGTGTTCTGCGAACAGACCTCAGACCTGTTGGACCATAGAGATTAAAATGTGGACATGTCCTTTGGTGTCTGGCCCTGGTCCTGAGTAGGGCTGTCCAGTCAACACAATATTAGCCTATTAAACTGAAGTCTGTGCCCAATCCTTTGTTTACATCCACTGTCATTTACGTGTCTTAAATTTGAATACATTTCTTAAATAATGCATCAATATCAACCAATAATTGGTGAATTTATACCACAAAGTGAGCACTCCAGACACTTACCCTTTGCTGATATTAGAGTTCTAAGCAGAGTTCATTAAGCGTCACATAAGACTTTTTCATGGTGCCTTTTATTCGTCAAATCCCCCAGAATGCTCTCTGCTTTCCAACACTGAACTGGACGCCTCCGCTGGTCACTATAGTTTTTACCAGTAATACTGGTGACATCACCAGGTACTAGTCTAGACCTGGACCAGAGTAATATAAAACTTGACTGGGACATCCCTCGTCCTGTGGGTAGTGGGGCCTCTATACTTCAGACACAACCTGCAGATACTCCATTGGATTGGGCTATGGGGAGTTTGGAGGCCTGTTCACCACACCTTGGGCTCTCTTTTGCGGTGTGATGGGGTGTGTGGTCCTGCTGGATGAGGGGGCTGCTGTCTTGGAGGGCTGTAGCCACGGAGGGGTGAACTTAATCTGCTACAATAGTTATGTGGATGATACATGTCAATGAATGCCAGGGCCGAAGGTTTCCCAGCAGAACATTACATTGCAACAAGAGAACCGATGTTTTCCAGTTTACTTGTCAGGGGTATTAATTTTGTGGCTGATTAGTATGACCGTCTATGTATCTGTGTCCTCAGGTCATGTCTCTGAGCTTCCAAGTTGCAGCCTAAAATAGACCACAAGTGGCAGCTGCAGATGTGAACACATCTGCATACGCATCACCTGCTGCAGGGTGAAGTGTTTGCATGTGTCCCAAGGTCTGAATTTTGGTCTGTTTTCGAGGATCTAAGAACCTTTACGGGATGAATAATGCATCCTAAAGTTAGCGTACATCATCTTTATCAGCATATGAGACTTTCTCAGTTGTCATTTTAGAAAAGATGCACTTTCAGGACTGAAAACTTGTTCATTCTTGACCTTGAATACAGCATGTGAGGAAACCGTCTAACAAGGTTCAAAAGGCGGCTGTTTTGGAGCTTTTGATCTGATCTGCTTCTTTGAGTCCAAGAATGACAAACTTAAACCGTAGCCTTTTTTGTGTATTTTGACGGACTCATTCTTTATGGCAAAACTGGTTTTGAATGTCATCATACAAACATGCATGTAGCGTCACCACCTCTTCGTTTATCCTCGCCATCGTTCATGTCACCACTGATCATCAGCGTCATTGTTTTCTCCACCGTCATCTCCCATTTATTTTTGTGTCATCTGTGTTGTCATCATTTTTATTTTTCCATCGCCGTCTCTCCCTGCATGCATGACTTCATCATCAACATCATCATCATCACCACCACAGCAGCATCACATCTTCTCCACAACAACGAGGTGAGTGATGATCAGTAGAAAATGTGTTTCTCCGTTTCACCTGCACTTTTTAAAACAGACAGCACTTCTGACATTTAAAAACATTTAGCACTGAACTAATGCCCTTTCTTCATTCCTTCGCTGTGATCATTAATTTCATTTAACGGATACAGAGTGACTGTGCAGTCTGGGTGCGCGGATGTGTCATCAGTTCATCAACACAAAGTGCTGTGGCTCTGGTGACTGTGATGCGTCCAGCAGACTTGTGGCTTGGCAGAATGGGGACACCGCGCCGTAGAAGTGCTGGTTTGGCTGAAGAATGAGGAGAAACTGTGTGTGGAATGAATGAAATCTTCTCCCACTGCCATTTTCTGACTTTAGACAAACACTTGACAAGGTTTCACTATAAGGGCCAAACAGGCTGCATCGGGCTAAATGGTTATTTATTGCACTCAGTGTCCCGATGAGATGTGTTTATGTGCATCGTGTTACTGGTGGAGATGATTTTTCAGATGGTTTGGTTTGGCCAAAAGAAAGGTCTGAGCATTTCACAGTCTCTCTGCTGTCTCTCCACAGCATCAGAACTGTCCATTAGCCGATTTTGCTGCCACAGGACCAGCTCTTCATTTGCCACGACCATTCATTTCTTTCTTCATTCATTTTTCCACTGTTTCACTGTCACCATTCCTACCCAGAGCTGCAGCAGCCACTTGTGTGCTTTGGGTCAAAGTCGGAATGTGTCAGTAACAGTGCACCTTATCATGCGAGCGGCTTCAGACGAGAGGAAGCAATGGATAGGTTGGTTTTAGGTTCTACCATGCACCGATGTCACTCTGAAGCAACGGCAGAGCCACGGTGCGATTTATGGACTGCAGACAGTCAAATGTGTCTTGTGGCTGCTGTGAATCAACACTATAGTCTCACATAGTCAGACCATTCTCTAATGCTGGCACAGTGGTGTGTAGAACGGTCTGGTTGCGCCACGCCATCATTCGGGGATCAGGGGAAAAAAAGTTAAGTTGTCTTTACACCTATCACAATCACTATGGAGAGGGGTAACAACAGGCTGCACTGATGGTGTTCACTCAAAATAGTGACGGGCATGCCGAAAGCTGACCACTTTCATTAGAATCGATTACTCGCTGAGCTGGTATGTCACACTTGAGTAAAACTTGAGCTATTCAGTGTGGTACCCTGCTGCTAGAGGTCACTGTTGTTGTTTTTGGTCGGGATTTTGAAAAGGGTTACACTCAGATAGCAGAAGAAGAGGAGGAAACCATTGCTGTGTCCGAAATCATCCACTCACTCCCTCCTCACTATAAAGGGACCACTATGTAGTGAACTCTGTAGGGAGCACCTCGGCAAGGTAACATTTCGGACACTACTCGAGCTATTAATCATGTCGCTCACCAGCCACGATATGTGCCGTAACAGTGTAGTACAAACATTAAGTTCAGATTTTATTGCATAGCTAAGAAACGGGTAAAATAACATTTACCAAAACATTAATGGGAAATTGCTTACATTTTAATGACAAGTTTTCACGCCCTCGTTCGTCTAGTTTGAGTTTCCCTTCGCGCAATGCAATGATGGTCCATATTGCTGGTTGGTCATTGGCTGTACACTACTTTTGAGCATTGTGGGATATTTTGAGTGTACTGTATAGGGTGTAACATTTGTAACTTGACATTCGGATAGCACTACAAAATGGCGAACACCCTATATAGTGCACTGTATAGGGTATAGTGGGGGATTTCGGACACAGCCCATGTGAAATGTATGGCCAATGTGTCAGACCGTCATCTGCTTGGCATCAAGTGTTTCCCACAGTTCACTGCATTTACTAGTTGCTAACGGACAACTACAGTAGACTGGACTGCACAAGTTGTTTCTCACGTTACCTCCTGTACGTACTCAGATCGATGTGTTTGTCTTTTGTGTCTCTTTGTGTTTGGTTTTTGTTCTCTCCAACAAGTTTATGGATGCCATCACGGTGACACAAACACACCTCAACCCTCTATCTCGTTTGTCCCAACAGGAAGGCCGGCCTGATCCTCTCCCAGCTCGATGAACTGTCCCTGTGGTGTAAGGGTCTCCTTCAGGAGCAAAAGATCGGCCTTCGCAGGATGTCTCTCAAGTTCCTGTCCTGCCGTTACACTGACACCAAGGCCTTTGGGCTGAACTGGTCAGACATGGGCCAGGACGTACACAAGGCCTGCGACGAGCAGACACTTGCTGTCATGTATAACGACTACGGTGAGCCCAAGGAGCTCTAAAGGTTTCAGTTTCACTTTGGATGTGCACAGGAGTGTGAGAGATTTGTCAAATCCAACAAATAAAATAATAAAATGCAGGTTTTACATGTTTTTTCTCCAACTTATATGCATTTATGGTCTCATACACAAATACTACTACTACTCATTTGAAATGGCCATTGCTTTGTTTAGCTTTACCGGCACCAGAAGTAAATATGTTTAATGTATTATAGTACCTGGTGGTCTGTAAAGTTTAGTCATCTGATAAGCTGGAGGAGTGTTAATTCAAACCTCTTTGCTGAACTTTTGTGAGCAGTTTGAAGTTCATTCCTCTCTGGCAATGATGAATTAAAATGAATGTAGGCTTGATTTGGTCTTGACACAAGAATTCTTGATATAAGCTTCACAGTAAAAGCTGTCTGTCCTTCATGACTTTGATCAGTTCTCACTGGTCATTCCTGCATAAGGCTGCATTACAATGATAAATATCTTCTTTGATGTAAATCAGACTCTTATGGACAAAGCACTAGTATATGAAGCAGCTGCAGCATGAGATGAATTTGTTTGCCTAAGACTAAGTTTTCACTCAATTAGAGGCTGATTTGTCTAAATTTTAACATTTTAAATTTGTATTCAGTATGGAATATTGTAATACAGGTAATGATGAGCCTTTACACCTTGGAAACCCAAGATTGATACAAAATCTGTATTAATTTATGGTATCTGAGTAGGTTTTTGAAAACTCTAAACACCAGTTGGAACACAGCTGTGACCCTCAAGATAATAGTTCCCCCGTTTTATGTTAATTTTATTATTTTTTTAATCAGTTTAGCAATGAAAAATAATATGATTGGGTAAAATAGCTAAATAAACAGTATTCCTTTATTTTGTGTTTGCTAATAAACATAGAACTAAACATGCAATTAATTTTACTTTTTGTTGGACTTGACAATCTCCATTTTAGATTTATTTTATTTTACTCTGTATCACAAAATTCTATTCTGTGGGTTTGACGCATTCAGTCAGACATTAAAAGGTCAAATCTGGGACTCTTTTGTGGGCTCCTTTGTGCCTGTTTAAACCCAAACCTTGTCGTATATTTAGACGTTTTGGTAGGACGTGGCACAAGGCACCTCCTGACGTTGAGCAAGCGGCTAACCTGGATGCAGTTAGTTGTTTCTTAAACCTGATTTACAACTTAAAGTCAGTTTCTTGTAAAGTTTACATGAAAAATGGACTCAGGAGATTCTGCGTCCTATAAAGATTTTCCAGTTAAAACTCATTGTAGCTTCGGTTTCGCCGGCACATTCCAGCCACTGCTATATTTAAATATTTTACTGGTTCACAGCTTCTGATGCTTGCCGCGCACATTTATTATGAATAACTTCAGCACACCCAGCAGGTGAACACTCGGGCTCGACATCAAGTATCTGTGAACGGTCCTGGCATTGGTTGCTTCGCTGCTTATTCATCAAGACGTGCGGTTTTTAACTTCTCCTTGTACATATTTTGAATGAAGGATGCCTCGTGAACAAGTAGTTATAGACCAGATTCTTCTTTTGTCATTGGAACATGTTGAGAAGTTAATGCAGTGCAACGTACTGAAGGAGCTGTCATGTAGCGACGCTGGAGGGAGAACAAAAAAAAAAAAGCCAGTATTTTACAGAGTTATGTGTTTTTCTATTGAGGAGAAGAGGTAGCATGTAGGCCGATGGAGCTTTACCAGAAAAGCGATATAAAGAAAGGTAGAACTAGGTAGAAAACAGGGTCGCCTGAGGAGAATTATTTTAGTAGTTTAGACATTCAAATGGAAACCTGTACATAGCATTATCATAAGGTTTTAGTGATTAACCTGCTGAATGTAGTGTTGATTGCATTTAGAAATGCTGTAAAGGAGTTGTACTAAATAACCTGCCAAAAACTGTTGTTTTTTTTATTATTATCATTATTATTTTAAAGCTCCCATGCAATTTAAAAACATCAAATCTAACTAATGAATGCTTTGAAAGTGATAATTCTGTATTGGAACTGTAATTTAACTTAATGTTTTCAGCTGCATCTCTGTATGTTCATAGAAAAACATGTCTTTGAAAAGATCCTTTTGAAAATGTCCACTAATCCAGTGTGTTTACCGTGAGTGTATTTTTACTTTCATCTGACCTGAGTTGTTCTATTATTCTATGTTCCTTTAGCTGTGTGCAGTGGCCATGTTGGAGATTGATGTCAAAGAAATGCAAATGTATATTAGCTGTTAATTTTTAACGAAGCTCATATGTGAATACTAAAATGAACGCTTGTAGATTTTTGTATAGGCAGCAAAGTATTTCATAAACGCATCACATTAGAGCACAGTACAGTGTTTTACTTCTGTATATAAATGTACAACAGGTGATATTTTACGACATCTACGTGTGCTTTAGTAGATACAATATTGTACCGTAATACCTGCCGTGTATCTTAGTCTTTGCAGATGAATGCACTGATTCCAGAAGGTTTGACTTTGATCTAAAGAGGCAACAACTATGAGCTGGAACCTGACTGAACTTTTGTCGTAAAACGAACTCGAAGATGAAATGAATAAGGCAACAAGATAGAGACCCATTTGACCTTTGAGAAATATGTGAATCAACCATCTACTATCTGCATGATATACTGTCTCCTGCTGTATGTGGCATCATAAACTCCACTTTTTCACTTTGATCTTTGCTACTTCCAAGAACAATAAAGAATATATTATAAATGTGTGGCTGTACAGGCAGTTTTCGGGGTGTGCTAAAGAGGTTTTTAAGTCCAATGGTTGTCAGAAAATGTGGCCTGTTTTGGAATTTCGAAAAAGAGGGTTCACTAAGGCGTCAGCCAACCGAACGGACAGATCTAATGTCTATATCTGTGACAAGGATATAGACAATTTTGCACTTAGTCTGAGTAGAGAAGGAAAATGTTGTCTGGGATAAATGCTGGCCTGGCATTTCACACACGAAGCCAAACCATGTCAAGCAAAATACTGCTGCAGATTCTGGTGTCTGTGTAACCCTCAGCGCTATAATGAAATGGAAAAAGCCCGAGAGAGCCTAAACATTGGATATCAGGACGTCAGTACCTGCAAAGCAAGTTCAACATACCCGGGATATCTTTTCATTATCTGGCTTCACTGAGCCCAACAACCACAATCACGCTAAGTTGTGACATGACAGTGGTTATCAACTCATTAAGGCAACCCAGTGAGCACCGAATGGGATTTCAGTGTCGATTTCTAGTTGAAAACTTGCCGATATTCGTTTTAAGGCCCTTTTTTCGCCCTCTTTTCAATCAGCTAGAGTGCAGTTATACCATCGGTGTGTCACCGAACACAAATATGTGTAATCACTATGATAATTTGTTCAGTTGTTGGTTGACAGACGGTATTTTTCCAAAGTCATATTGCACTTTTAGGCGACAAACGGTCTGTAGAAGATGTAATTTTTACACGGTTCATATGAGATGTCAGTGACCCTACTGTTCACCTGGTCTGTTACCTCCGTCAACATTGTTCTCATGAGTTTAGGAGCTCAACCACTTATTTCACATCTTCTTCAATAGAGCAGGATGTTCAATTTATGGTCCCATTTAGAGGAAAATAGGTGATAGAGTATGTTTTAGAGCAGGGTCAGCATTTGATTTAACAGGTTTTTATTGTATTGCTGTAGCGTTCTCTTTTTGTCAGTCACATCTACCTTTTGCTTGTTTATTATGATCGCCTTTAAAAGTCCAACATGGCACATTAAGTCCTTTGGAGCTGCAGCTTCGTCCACTTTCAATGTAGAAAACACCTGCTGCCTTTACAATATGAGCAATGTAAGTCTGCAGCGTGTGTTTCTTCATTGCAGCAGCTGGTTTGCTCAGTAAGAACCTCACAGGGTATCGATAACGTGGACTGGGGGAGTATTGTTTTTCTGATTGCTGCTATTTGCACAGTAGCAGACAACGATGTTCATGATTTCACATTGTGGTAAAATATGTTTGAATATTAATATTCAGTCAGTGTCTTAAATCAATGAAACAAGTTCTACTGTTGAACCTGTTTTGAACATCTTTTTAACGGTGACCATAGTTGTCTTCTGACCATCTTTTGAAGTCACAAATGCTCACCAACAGATTAAGAGGGTTTCTGAATATAGCTACAGTAAGAATGTGATCACGTAAAAGCAGTAGTGCTGGCACCAGATGACCAATCACAAACATGAACTATTAATCCTAAACCAACACCCATCTATCCATTAACTTCACCCACTTTATCCTGTAGTGGGTCACAGGGGATTCAGATGTATTCCAGCTGACAGTGGGGTACTGGAAGGGTACATCCTGGACAGGTCGCCAGTCCTTCACACCTACAACCAGTTCAGAAGCTGTGTGAATGTGTAAGTCGATGAGCTTGTCATTAATTGAGTTGCTGCTCTGATATATTCTTGTGGTATGTTAAAATATTTTTGCCTTTTCAGTTGCAAAGCTGGTGGTGTTAAACAGTCTTGAGAACAAGTGAAGAACCATAGAATAGTCGAACTAGTAAGTATAGGCTTACTGCAGATCTTCTAAGGCAGGGGTGTCGAACTCTGGTCCTGCATGTTTTAGATGTTTCTCTCTTCCAACACACCTGATTCAAATGATCAGGATCGTTATCAGGCTTCTGCAGAGCTTGATGATGAGCTGATCATTTGAATCAGGTGTGTTGGAAGAGGGAAACATCTAAAACATGCAGGATTGCGGCCCTCGAGGACCGGAGTTCGACACCCTGTTCTGAGGTCAGCATGTACAAGGCTTAAGCTCTTTAATAATCATGTTTTAGGATTCAATCACCATGCAGCGGATTATAGAACAACTAAATGCCTTTGAAATTGTTTGCATCCTTATAAAATTTGCCTTGCTAAGAGACCCTCTTACTATGTGAACTTCTTCCAGGAGGACTGATGTTGTTTTTCATTTATTGATCAGTAAGTGATATTTTTTTCTGTGTTGATCTGTCATCTTCAACACAACATTCTCCA